TACATTTCGTGAATAATAGATTAAACACAGCGTTTGATTTAGGGCGTGGCTACCTTGTCACTGACAGGTCGCTGCCATGGGGTCTTCGACTTTAACCCTTTCAAGGTGTGTTTTCAGTTCATGAAAGTTAATTATAACTTTTTTTTGTTGCCAAAAAATGTGTTATTCAGCATTCGGTTGTACTTAGCTCGACCCTTTCATGTCACTCACTTGGTTGCAAAAAGCCAAGATGACGAGGGACAAAATGGCAAACTCAGAGATTCAATATGGCAGTCCACAAACCATTGGGTCATGTCCCGGTGACTACGCCTAGCTATGCTGGGTGAGCGCAGTTCAAGATGGTGGTGACTTTGGTTATATTAATTTGTGTCTGAAGAAATATCATTGGTTATCACACCTGATAACAGTCTTTAGCCACAGGTATTGAAATGTTGCATTGTTGAAGAAAATACAAGAGCTGGTAATATCTAACGTTCCCCTTTAACTGAACAAACGTTTTACCAACTTCCCTAAACACGCAGAGAACAAAGCAATGTCTGGAAAAATAGATCAAGATAGGGGAAAGGCAGATAAGAATCCCCTTTTCTTAAGCAGTGAAGTGAATCCTGCAGATATGCATTCTCATGCATGCTCAAAAACTCCTGACTGTATGCCATCACCTGACACCATGCACAGTACTCCTGCTCCGAAGAAAACCAGAGCCAACCCTGACTGAAATGCAAGACAATATTTTGAGACTGCTGCTTGAATAAAAAAACGAGAGGGCTCGACGGTATAGAAGAGAAGGCTAATCATCTGGAGAAGTTGATCAAACTAAACAGAAAGAAAACTATTTTTTAAATCTTTGATATGGTTTCTATTTCAAGAGGTCCAAGATATGAAAGCAGATGTCACAACACACACAACAAGACGGCAAACCGCCAATCACAAGACAAGAATCTCTGAGCTTGAAGGCAAGATAAATGAGACCTAGTGAGCACTGGCAAAGAATATGCAATATGAGGCTTATTTGCCGTGCTTTTATTCTAAAAGTTGGACATAATCTTCGTTTCCACATTGATGTCAGCTACAGAGTTGGAAAGAGAAATGGAGGCAACATTTGACCAGTGTTCACAAGATTCACAACTAAATCAACCAAATAATTGGTATGGAAGAATGCAAAGGGATCCAAGTATTTTATGTTCAGGAAGCTACAGTTTGTTGAAGATCTGAAGTTGAAGAATAAAGAAACTCGTATCAGGCTGTGGCCCCAAATATAGGTGGCACGTAAAGAAGGAATAAAACTGAGCCACAATAGTTCAATATATAGCACTTGGAGACTCAACTCTTTTTTATGATTTATGACATTATAACTGTTATACCGCACATAAAAAGACATGTTTGAGTTGTATCTCCTTCGAGATGTTTCGATAGAGGTGCAGGACTTAAATATTGAAGTGAAAAACAAGGCCACAGACTGCTTGGGATTCTATACCTAGGCCAGATAAAGACTTATTGATATTTGAAACGAATTTGGCCCCAAGCTGAATCTATTTGAGGACTCTGATAGGCTAAATTGTATGTCACTCATTTATATCTTTAATCAGCAATTGGCTAAACTGCTTCATAGACCCGCCTCTTTTGGGCCAATTCTCGATGGCTAAACAAATCAAGGAAGTTGTGCAGGAATATGCAGTGTGAAAAAACAACAACACCAGACCCTTTGAGATCTCATCCAGTTCCTGAAAGAGCATGTTCGAAAGTTTAAATTGATCTATTCCATCTACAGAAATTTCTACAGATTTCAAAGTCATCACATAGACAAGTCTGTTGATTTAAACTGTGTGGTATTGTTGTATTAGCTTTTTATACGTTAACATATGTGAGGCACATGCGAACCCACAGTTGCACACCCAAAGCTTCTTTTAAGTGTGTTTATCCTGGATGTCATAGAACTTTCCAGAAGTTCAGAACATTGTGTTGCTAAAGTTTTTATTTTGCTTGTTTTACAATCACTCGTCATCAGAGATTGAGGATACCAGCCAGGTGCATACCATTGAACAACAGTAGCATACCACTGCAGGGATAGGTACATACCGCTGAGGTTACCCTCATGAGTTCAGTTAAGCCGGTCATTAAAGATTTTATGATTGTATTTGTTTTCGTCTAAACATGCAGTAGATTGTGAGTTTTGTGATCTAATACAAATGTCCCTTTATTGTTTGTCTTGAGATCATGTATTAAACTGCAACAATTATGTATTGAATGTCTATTGTTATTCTTTAATTTTTTGGGAATTAAATGCAAAAGTATTGGGTTGTATTACCCTTTGTAAATAAACGGTAACATTCTGACATATACCGTAAAGTCACCCTAAACCCCAGTTATCCTACTATCACATAATGTCATCCAGTGTACGGTAAGCTACCGTAGAAGTAAATTGCGGTAGCTTCACCGTAAAAAAAACAGTATATTACTGGCGTCCCTGCTGCCAGTAGTTACCATTATTTTACGGTGTAGACCTGAAGACATCTTAACGCCAATATTTAGTCATAGCGCCACCTACTGACAACAGAGAGTCAGCCTTATGTGATCGTTATTGGGATTGTCAAAATCTCAGGAAAATTGGCAAAACTGGCGAAATTTGCAAAATTCTACCATGATTAGGCTCATGTGTGGCCAATATGCTCCATAGCGTCCCCAAATGCAATCCAGGGTTGGGATAAAGTTCATTTGATGTTCATGAATTTTGTTTTGGATCATTTCTCTCATCTTTAAGAACATATTAAATGCTTTTTAAATTTTTTCACCCAACAGGAATTCAGCCATGTTGGATTTTGTGCATTCCTTTTCATTTTACAAACACATGTTTGAGAACTTTTGGATGCTCAACAACTCATGAAACTTTGCATCCATGTTCAAACAAGTAATTATTTAAATTTGATGTTGTAATTGGACTTCAGCGAGGCATGTATGCTCTATGGTGCCGATTTCCGCGATATTTGGTACCCACATTGCTCTCATCATTTTGGACACACTTCACATTGGCTATCATTAGCTCGGCCCAACCAGAAAGATAAAAATAAGATAAAGATAAAGAGGTTTTTATTGTCATTGTAGTGATACAATGAAATTCCGTTTGGTAGCCCTCAGCCAGCCAGCAGCATCGAACAACAGACATTTGAAATTTTGTGTTTAACTTGTACTTTTTGATTGAATGGCAACCCTGATCTACCGCTGAGCCACAGTCGGAGCGACATATCATTATCACTAAATAAGGATATGTTTACCTATGCCCGCCATGCTAGGGGCATTTTAACATTCTGAATTTAATGGCTATCAATCCAACAGCTTTTGAGACATTTCACTGAAAATCTAAAAAGCCAACCCGACGGTGGTTCAAGAGGAAAAGTCAGGGGACACCTAAGTAGAGTTCTGTAGGTGAATTAAGGGTGATTGGGAAAGTTTTGGAATTTCTGCATTGTGTAAGCTTTCTTACCATGAATTGTTTTAAAAATAAGCCAACCATACGATACATTTCTGTAATACTGAAGTTGTTACTTTGAGGAGGAAAGTAGGTAATATCATACTCCAAGGAGGCGTGGCATATCCTTTTGTGTAAACTGCCACAAGACTTTTTTTTCTTTTTGTAACATTTGGGTGATTAGGACAGCATATCTATCATCGATTTAGGCTAGACTAAGCATGTTCATTGCACAATTTATTTTACATGTTGATTTCATTTTAAATGCACATTTTCCTTTTCCTGTTAATCATTATGAATTAAAACTCCATGTTTATTTATGCAAAACTTTATTACTGAAGGTTTAAAAATAGGGCCACAATTCATACAGGACAAACCAAAACTGCCTTTCCTAAGTGTCAACCCCCTCCCTACCACAATTATCTCCCTCAAAATCTCATCGAACACATTTATTTAAGGTAATAATAAAAAAGCTTCAAGTCCAAAATTCTTTCTCACTCGTGCCATTCTACTCCGATTAATCAAGATTATTTCGGGATGGTTTAAGAGGTCAAGGCTAAACATAGTTGTTTGTGTTTGGCTTGGCTAGTGTTTGAAGGTAAACATGGTGTTTTTTGCTTGCTGGCAACAGTCTAGCCAGCAAAAACAGCTAGTGAAAGAACAGCTAGCAAATTTCAGGGCGGCATTTTTGTGGTTGATAAGGGATCCGCACACCACTAGCCACAGTTAGCGAGTTTGAACCACAGTTGGGAACCACTAGCAAAAGTTTACAAAAGTTTGTAAAATATAAAAGCCAAGACAAATGTATGACCTTATGATGAAAAGGTGACCAAGCTTGTCATTTTCCCCACCTCGTGCATTGCAGGAGTCATTACTTCCTCTTTGATGCTTGCCCCTCCCACCTACGTGATGTTACCACAATGAGGGCATGGAATTTAGATTGGGTGGTTTCACAGCTAGGGACCAACAAAATAAGTTATTCTCACAGATAAGCTGAGGAAATAAACAATGTGTTGTTATAATGTCCCATTGGACATAATGTTCCAATCACCTTTGATTCACCCTACACAATTTATTTGAAAAAGGTAAGCACAGCATACTTCTAAATCTACCTCATGTCACTTCCTTTTGAAAAGGGTTACTGTTAAACAACAGTGCCAGACCCAAAGCTGAATGATTTCTTCAAAGGAATGAGTAGCATCAAAGGAAGTTGAATGGTATTCCTCAAATAGCACCCGTCCAAAACTGGCCGGATGACGTGTCACATACATTCCTCAACAGCACGTTTGGAGAGCGTGAACAAAAGATAACAGCCAATCAGCTTCTATAGAGCTGATACTCATGACATGCAAACACAAATGTTAAATATTTTGGCCACAATAGCAGTTGTGTAAGAGAACCCTCTTAATCAGTGTTTGAACAGCAGTCGACCACAGCAGTCAACCACACCCTCAACATATCAGCTAACGATGATGGCGTCATTACCTCCATGAACTACATCTTCAACGACAAGACATACAACACAAATCAACACACATTAAAAGTGAAAATAATATTTATTCAGACAATACCCATTTAATCTGAAGTATATGTATGAAAAAATATAAACAAAACACAAAAGTTCAAAAAGATTGTTCACAGTCACTAACTTCTCAGCTGTCGCACACTAACCATAGCATACACTGAGTGCATTAAAAATAAGCTTGTGTTTGCAAGTTAAGCAGATGGGGATTTCTAGCATCAGTCTGGGTGGCATGAGCTCTTTGCTCTAGCGAGGTGGAAAGCCCCGATGTAGCCCTCCCCTGCCCCTGAACCCTCCCCTGTCCCCACGGAAATTTGGCCGGTTTCTTTCACGGCCTCTGTCTCCGCCTCTTCCTGCATTTGGCCCACCACGGCCCCCTCTGGTTGCTCCACCACCACGTTCCGACTTCAGCTTAGCGGGGGGAGACTTAGGCCGCAGCCTCTCTATATCCTCTGTGCAGCCAGACAGGTGGGAATTGACAAAATGCGAGGCGTAGCTCTCTTGGTTAAAGTTACTGTTTGTCAAAGTAGGACCCACGGTCAGCCAGCCTAGAAGGAGAAGAAAACCAAAAAGCAAGAACATGGGTATTGAGAAACAAGCAGAGGCACAGAGGAAGACAAGACACTCAGAAACTAAAAGCAAACATAGCCCACTGTACAATATGCAGTTATCCCCTAAATTGACCATGGAAAGAGATTGTCCAGCTCACCTGGTCTGATGGTCGAGTCTCGTCCAAACAAGTGCAACCTCCTGCGGCCCAAACAGAAGTGCTCAATTATGTGGAAGATCTCAACAGGCTTCTCTACATTTCCCATCTCAGGCTCCTCAGTGATGATCAAGTCAATGTCCACGTTAGCATGGATGAAGTCACCGTCAGTACTCCTACGCACTGTTCCTTTGATTCCCATTAGGCAGTGTTCCTGGAGGGAATAGGTTGTATACATCATAATATACAGTTTAAACTGCTTTTACTTGACATTCATCATACTGTATGTAGAGGAGTTAATTTAAATTGGGTATCTATAATTACAATTTATAGATAAAAAGGAACAAATCCCAAAGCAATTTGATTATGTAAAATTTACATAAACATGTATTTCACATTTCTGCTGTACCTTGGTCCTCTGGAATACTGCTTTTGGGTCCAGTGCCTTGGTCTTGCCTGGGTTATTCTTGTTGGTCTTGATCCAACAGATATCCTCACACCGCCTAAAGCCCCACTTCCTCAAACACTGAAATGGGTGTAAATACAGTTAATGTGATGGACGATGTACTACACACACTCACCATAGAGATGTTAATATTGACAGTTCATATTTGTGTAAGTAATGTGAGACGATTACTGCATTATTAACACAGTACATGCAGAGTAGGGCTACCCCTACCCTTCTACTGTATGGCAAATCATGTAGCATAAATATTATAAATGGAATCAGAAAATCCAGTGTTTCCAAGAAAACTGATTTCTGAACTGCTGAAAATTGCATGGCCTACTCCGTGGTTCAAAGAGCAATAATGCCAGTGATTCTTTCAGTTTTACGTACACCAAGTTCGAGTAATCTGCACAAAACATAATGTTTTGGCTTTTGTCTCCATCTCGTTCTTTGGTTGTAATACTTGAACGCTATTTGAGATAACGACGCATAATTGTTCAACATTTCGTTTACAATAAGCATGTTCTGTCTTCCTTTCTTAAAGGTTGTCCACATTAAGCTTTTTGGTGTTTTTGATAATGGCATTAGCAAAACATTCAAAACAATTAAAACTCTTGACATCAGACCAAAATTCCAAAATATTGTTGACTGCAAGCTATTAAAGGAATTTCTGTAAATATATACTTATATATATATAATAGGGGTGCAACAGTTCACAAAATTCTCGGTTCGGTTTAATACGATACAGTGGTGCCACGGTTTGTTTCGGTACGTTTTCAATACAGCAAAAAAGCAGAAATGCCAAATCCTTGCTGGTGAGACTCTCGAGGGGTCGTGTCTGAAGAACATGGCTCTTTATCTCCAATCAGTAGTGAGGTAATGTGTCGTTACTGTCGGGTAGCTTTGTGTAGTCTGACGTCCAGCTGTCTGTTGTCAGAGCAACATTATCTAAACACTGGGTGGAAAGTTTGTAGCGTGAGTGCTGCTGTTAGTTTCCTGCTCAGCTAGTTTAGCATTGCGCGCTTCCCAGAAGATAGGTGCCTCAGATTAGAATGTTTTTCTTTCCTGGTGAGAGTAAGACAGCTCATTGTCTGTTACGTTGTGGGAGTGTCAAGACGGCACTGGCAAACTTCATATAATTGAAGGAAGGATGAATGGAAAAATGTACCGAGACATTCTTGATAAAAATCTGCTCCCATCTACCAGGATGATGAAGATGAAACAGGGTGGACATTTCAGCACGACATTGATCCCAAACATACAGCCAAGGAAACTCTCAACTGGTTTCAGAGAAAGAAAATAAAGCTGCTAGAATGGCCCAGACGATCAGCTGACTTGAATCCAATAGAAAATCTATGGAAAGAACTAAAGATCAGAGTTCATAGAAGAGGCCCACGGAACCTTCAAGATTTGAAGTCTGTTTGTGTGGAAGAATGGACCAAAAATCACACCTGAGCAATGCATGCGACTAGTTTCTCCATACAGGAGGCGTCTTGAAGCTGTCATTATCAGCAAAGGCTTTTGTACTAAGTATTAAATCAATTTCAGTAAGCGTGTTCAATACCTTTTCCCTGTGTCATTCAATTTTTTTACACATAACTTAATTTCTGAACTTATTCGTTTGGTTTTCTTTGTATGTATGGATTACTTGGGTTGTTACCGACATCTGTTGAAAAGTGTGTGTGTGTGTGTGTGTGTGTGTGTGTGTGTGTGTATATATACAGTGCATCCGGAAAGTATTCACAGCGCTTCACTTTTTCCACATTTTGTTATGTTACAGCCTTATTCCAAAATGGATTAAATTCATTATTTTCCTCAACATTCTATACACATCAACCCATAATGACAAAGTGAAAACTGTTTTTTGCAAATTTTTGCAAATCTATTAAAAATAAAGAACGAAAACATAACATGTACATAAGTATTCACAGCCTTTGC